CACTATGATGTGTTATTTTTCTTAGAAAACATACTGAAAATATTCATTTCAAACTGTTAGGAAAATAACTAACACTAGTATAGTGAAAGTTTATTTCTCAAATGTGAAACTAAATTTACCTTCTGAGAAAGAAAATAAAATGAGGACAAAATTAGATTTGCATGTGTGTCTTTTACATTATTTTTCTCTTTATATTTACACTTTATTATCATAGGCAGCTTTAGCTGCATAAACTTCTTGAACAAGAGCAGGAATTTTTAGACTATTTGTTAAAGATGTGTTTGTAGTGTCAAAGTATATGGTTATTCAGTTAAGATTAATCTTCTTTCAGTATTACAATGTGAACACAATTTAGAAACAACCATACTATCATCATGGTGTCAGCAAAAATTTATGTAAATTTCTAGAACCTTGTGGATGAATAATGGATTACACTATAGCAGAGAGAAAGTTGAGATTTTCATTTTCCTCTAGAGACACAACAAAATATCTGTACCAATGCCAAATCTATGTACTAAAAAGTATTTATTTTTACTGAAAATTTTCATTTACTGAATTGCTTTTAGAAACAGCCAGAACTGAAAACAGATTGTAACCCTCAAATACATAACAATTATTCCAGACCATGCTTTTTAAAGCAACCTTGAAATTAGTGTGCAATATTCCCCACAACATTCCTTATTTGCATAATGTGCACATATAATTTGTCCACAGGAAAGAATAGAATTGAGAATGTTCTTAACAAATTCCTCTGTTTTAGTGGCCCCTGTCAACCATTTGTCTTGTTCATGACTTTGAGATTCAGACATTTAAGTGTAGCTAGGCTCTGTTGACAAGACATATAGCTGAGTAGCCTGTTGGGATAGATGAACCATTTCAAAGATTTTCTTTTTTTTCATGTATATGCTTGGTTCCTTGGTACTCATTTTTCTTCTGCTCACATAATGACTCGTCCATGTGGCTTGGATTTCCTGTAGCATGGTGGTACACAGTAGATCAAGAAATGGGGAGAGAAGTTGGAAGTTTATGTCAATCTAACTTCTAGACTCTCAGAACATTATTTATGCACATTCCATTGATCAAGCATATCCGTAAAGTCAACACAGACTTGGGAGAATAATGCAAACCAAAATCATATGGTAAGAGTAACAGAAACTGGCAAACTTAAATTTGATAAGATGCATAGCTATTTGGATTTGAATGTTGCATTTTGTGGAATTTTTTATTTTCCCTCTAGTTAAAGGATATGTATACCTGAATATTCTTGATAATAAACCTATGAATTGTATGGAAAATAATTCCTATAATTTTTCATCACTTTTGAATGTTGAAATTAAATTTTGAATTTTGAAATTCAATGTGCTTTGTATGAACAAGCATTCTAATATATTACAAATTATCTCACCAATACTACCACCTGATATTGAAGTTTTAACTTTCCTCAGACATAAAATGAGACACGTACAAATGCCATTATCTTTCTGTATTTTTTCATACATTGAGCATTTCTTAAGCTTTCATCACGTTGACAACAGATCTGCTAAGTTTGATGAACTGATACGTGTAGTGCTTATTATATTACCTTTATTATTGAGGCATGAAAGCAACTTACAAAATGATTTCCCATCCAAATAAGGGGTGCTAAATAATTATGTGGAAAAGTTTTAAATTACATAAAATTAACTACTCATGTGATCATTGAAATGCCAAAGATCCTGAATAACCAATTTTGTTTTATTTACTCTGAACTGTATGGTTATTTCAACATCTTGTAGAAACAGTCATTCTTGGATGAAAAAAGGATGTTCTCCATCTTTCAGTTAATAAAATTTCTTTCCAACTGAAAAGTTCAGCTTTGTATATAATGTAAATTATAATCAAATTAGTTAGTGTAGCAATTTTATAGGGTAGTATTCTGGTAGGATGTTTTTGTATATGTTGAAATACCTGTTCATACAAAGAAAATGTATTAAAGATGTTCCAAACATGCCACACAGGCATATATTCAGTGAACAAGAGTGAAATATATCTTTACAAAGGCCTCTTTCCTTATCTTGAGAAGTAGTTCTTAAACTTTTCTATTGAAGTGAACCCAATTGTAGAGGAGAATGAAAGGTCTCCCCCCACCCACTAGTTATCACAAAAAAAATTAACTCAAGTAGTATTTGGAATATTTGTGCAAATTTTGTGTTCAGTCTTTAATATGTACATGTTCTTATAAATGTAATGTATCTACTAGAATCTCCAAATAAACTGTACAACATCATTAAGGGTTTTCATGTAATCTCTGGCAAACTACAGAGTAACCTTTGGATATTTGTGCCTAGTTTGTGATTAAGAAGCCTAAGTAAAAATTATTATTAGAAAGGCTATAAACACATTTTTTGCTCTAACAAAGTATAATGACTTGAAACTAATCAGTGAATTTGGGAAGAAACAGTCTAATGTTTCAAAAACATTTGCAAAGTAGCTACCACTTCAACAGTCCACACATAGCAAGAGGTTTCTTATTTCTCATCTTTTTGTTCAAAGAGGCTAAACTTTGATACTCATATTTCTAGGCTGTATTTAAAAACTGCAATATGCTATATTTTATTTCAGAGTGACTAACAAATTCTTAGGAACAAAAATTTCTGGAGATTGTTTGCAAGGTAGAAATAAACCTCTACCAATCTAAGTTTGGTTGGAGAAATCAAAACATGAGTCAGAAACTTCCCAAGTGAATTAGATATTGATATCAATTCATCTTCCACAGGTGAACAATTATTGAGTAACACCACAGTCTCAAGTTTTAAAGACTGTATATTTTCCATAATTTACTCAGTTTTTATACTCTTTGGATTTGAATTGAAAAACTTCTTAATACTAGGATGAAACCGAAGATAGATGAAAGGTTCCAAATGTTAAAGGACACGTTTTCGAAGAACATCTAGCAGGCCTCTGAGTTTCATCCTTACTACATTGAAATCACATGTCTTAGAGGTAAGATACCAAAAAAAGAAAGATAGGAAGAAAGAGAGAAAAAGAAAGAAAGAAAGAAAGAAAGAAGGAAGGAAGGAAGGAAGGAAGGAAGGAAGGAAGGGAGGAAGGAAGGAAGGAAAAGGCTCAACAATTTGTGTTCCTATATGAGATTATGGAAAGACAATAGCACTCATAAACCAACATCTTACTATTCCTGATATCATAACATCATAATATTCATAAATATTCAGCAATAGCAATCTAAAAATAAGTATTAAATAGTACAGCATTTCATTGTTGGAAATAATATTATCAAATAACTTTAAAGGCTGCATTGAGTGCTGAATTTTACTTTTAAAAGTGCTTGGGCCAGGCGTGGTGGCACACGCCTTTAATCCCAGCACTTGGGAGGCAGAGGCAGGCAGATCTCTGTGAGTTCGAGGTCAGCCTGGTCTACATAGCGAGTTCCAGGTCAGCTGGGGCTACAGGGAGACCCTGTCTCAAAAAGACCAAAAAAAAGTGCTTGGTCTCCATCACTTAATAGTCACCAAATAAAAAATTGTGGCTGACATGGTTGAGCAGGACTTCTGACTTATCTTCACATAGATGGAACTGGCTAAAGAAAGGAGCCAGGGGCTCCTCCCAAGCCCATGTGACCCCTGAGGAACAGATCCTCTAACGACCTCAAGAGTACAAATAAATTGGTTCATCTGGGCCAACTGTATGGTCTTAAACACCCAAAAGGAAAGTATAAACAAAGATTAAAGGGATCAATAAAATTCTTTAAGAGTCCATGTGTTTAGCTAAAAGCTACATAACAAGAAACAATGCCAGATAGGAGATCCCTGCCTTTGAGTTGTTGGCCATGTTGGCCCAAAAGACTCCCAGATAGTAACCCAGCATAAAAGTGGGAAAATGAACAGCAGAACCCAATCTTATCTAAAGGAATATTGGCAACTGATTGCTGCTAGATGAGGAAGGGCTGATCTTCCTAAAACAAGGAACTCTAGATAGGCTGACTAGATTCAGTGGATGGACAAGCACTGGAGAATGGCTGGGGGCACTGACAACATAGTGGACAGTAACAGGGATTACAGAGTATATGGGCTCCATTGGGGAAGGGGGTAGACTATAGGAGGATGCCATTTGGGATGTGGGTATATAGATAAATAAAATTGTTTGGGATGTTCTGTATGAAATACAAACAAAAAATCAACAACAACAAAAAAGTTATATTTGAGGAAGAAGCAATAGAATTTGCTCCATGTTAATTAGTAGAGGTGAAACACATTACCATTGAAATCTACCTGATGATTTTATATCCATGTTCAGGTGGATCTCAGAAAGTAACCGACTGTGACTAGTAATAATCAGGTACATAGAGATTAGAGAGGCATATGCAAACATATAACTATTAGTAGCATTAAAATGAGTTTTTCCATATGAAATAGTATATTTTAAAATGAAATGGAGATCTTTTTTAAAGGTTAAAACGTCATTCAATTTTATGTCTCATAGGGCTTATACTGAGTTCAATTTTTTATAACTGTATTAATTCAACTGTGAACCTAAAAATTTACAGCCAGTATTGAAAGAGATGCATCTTTGCTCAGGAAATTGTTATTGAATATGTTAATGCTGTAATGAAATGCTTCTTCTAATCATGTGGTTATTAAACAAATAATTAAAAAATAAACAAAAATAATAAATAAAAAATTGCCACTGATAAGATAATTCTTCTGTACCAATCACTAATGCAAGACAGCCATGAATCTATCAATCACAGAGTTAAAAAGCTCTGTTGTATAGCACATTTAATGCCCAGTGTAACAAATTAGTATTACCATTCTTTGATGCAATACAAACTCATTTCCTTAAATTGCAATTGTACTGAATGCCAGGGTTATAAATGAGCAGAATGCAAATTGATTAGCATGTAACAGTGGTTGCAATAAACCTTTCCTGGTTCATGCAATTTTCCCCATCTGTTAACAAAGAACAAGGTTAGGAACTATTATTATTCCCAGAAGGAGACTTACCCAGCTGGACATCTATAACACTTGGCTGATTCTCCATGGGGAACAAAGGCTTGGGAGGCTTGTCTGTGAGTAAAGCTAGAAGAGAAAATGAAGGAAAGTAATGAAAAAATTGAGATAAATTACAGGGCAAAAATGATTCTATCGTGTATGATATTTAATGTCTGTAGACATGATGGTGTGTAAACATTTATTAGTGTTCCTACTTGGGCTGTTACTGTATCCATCCAAAGTCCATTTCCAACATATTTGGAGCACTACTGATTCACTGAAAACAGGCCATTTCAACAGATACATTTTCCTACAAGTTCAAACAAATGAATTCTTTTGCATGTTTTTTTTTCACAAGCTTGTGTGTGTAAAGAAGTATAGATTTTTATGCTTCCTCTTCAAATATAAGTCATTTTTAAAATTTGTTCATTTTTGCTGGAAATTGCTATTGAATATGTTAAAGTTGTAATGAAATGCTTCTTCTAAAAAATAAAAATTAAAATAAGAAGTATAGATTTTAAAAGTCAAATCAGAGAAATAATAAATGATCATATCTGCTTTGTAGCTCTAAATAGTCTCAATGAGCTGTGCTGGAGATTCCTTAGAAACGTAAACCTTCTAAGACTGCGGACCATCCTTGTTTTCCCTAACCTCCAATATAATGTAAGGAAGCACTGATTTCTTCCTTACTATTTGATAAAAAAGTTAACATGTTTTATGCAGCAAGTAATTTTTTTTGTGTGCCAAGAGCCAAGGAGGTAAAAAATTCTTCCTTGCTCCAAATTAATAATCTAGGATTTGGGTTCCAAGGTAGAGAGAATAAAACATAATATAATCTGATGAATAAATGCAGCACTTGAGCTATACGACAACATATAACTGGTAAAGAACTGGAAAAAGGAGAGGTCAATGCTACCTGAAAGGATCAGGGGATATTTTTGTAAAATATTTTATTTTTATTTTATGTGTGTGAGTGTACTGCTTGCATGTATGTAAGTGCACCTGTGTCATGCAAACCTGCCGAGGTCAGAAGAGAGCACAGGATTTCCCTGGAACTGAAGTAATGAATGGTTCTTAACTGTCATGTGGGTTCTGAGACTCAAACCTGGGTCCTCTGCAAAAGCAACCAGTGCTCTTAACCACCTAGTCAACTCTCCAGCCCCAACAGGGGAGATTTTTATGAAGGAAACAGATGTTTACATGAACCTTAAAGGATGGGAAACATAAAAGGCATAAAATAATATATTTTTAAAAACATGTTCAACAACACAGACCAAGACACGAGGTTGTACTCAGGAAGAATAATATGTTCAGTGAATAATGGACTGATAAGAAGTTCAGTGGGGTGGAGTAGTGTTTGAAAAGCCAATTTCTCATGACAGGAACATCATGGATTACAAATGGCACTAGATAGATAGGAAGAGTCTCAATTCTGGAGGATTATAAAATATGCAGAGAGATTTGGACATGATGTGGTAGGCTAGATGTCACTGTAAATTCTTAGACTAAAACAATGACTCAAATGAGGTGCATCTAATGATGACTGATTTGGCACATGGGATGTGGTGGGGAAGAAAAATAGTAGCTATGAAAATATAGCAATAATATTGGGGGCAGGGCAAGGAATGGGCAAGATCAGGATGGAATATGGGGAAATGAAAACAATCTGAGCTGTAATTAGAAGATAACTACTAAAGGACTTGATTAACAGAAGGATAATGTCATATGTACTGCTTTTGTAGACAACCTTCTATCACAATATTATTTATATCCTGAATTCCTCTTAATTATTATTGTATTTGTGTCTTGCTTAAACTCTCTAACAAGATTTTGCCTTTTAAAAATGTTTTATAATTCTTCATAATACATATGAGATGATACAATGTTAGACTAGAAAAGATAATCATTAGGCCATAGTTAATTGACTGTTTTAGGAAATTGCAGCTGGCATAAGAGACCTCTACCTCATATTTAAAATGCTATTTAGAAAAGAAAAGAAAGAGAAAAATGAATATTGATTACAGGATGTGTAAGGCTATAAAATATACAATTTTAGTTACATTTTCAAAAATAATTGTTGATAACTAAAAAAAGTGTCAGAAATTTAAGTAGAAGATATTTTTATATAACACTATCTCCCTCTCCCTTAATTGCCTGAAACAGGAAAATTTGAATGAATTAGATGATCTAATTTCTCAACAAATCTTTGATAGCCTATAACATATATTGCCCTTACAGAATTTAGCAACATTTTTAAAACTAGGCCAATTTATACATAATTTATACAGAGCTACAAGTCAAATATATCCCATCTTTTCATTGTATATGTTGCAGTTAATCTTAATAATATGATCTTAAATATTATTTGAAATATAAAGAGAAAATGAAAATGTAAATATTCATCTTCAAAGTTCAATAATGTCAGATGCTCCATTTTGCTGCTCCAGTTAGTTTACTACTATTTGTATTAGTGAAATGTTTGAAACAACTTAAATATCTAACAGTAGAAGACTGGCTAAATAAAATAGTAATTTTATATAATGGTATATTGCAATAAAGCTGATTGAAGGAAAGAATTACATTTGTAAATCTGATATAAATTTATCTCTAAGATACTTTGTTTAGTTTAAAAAGCAAAATTCCAAATGTTGTGTACTACATGCTGCTCTTAATGTAAAAATATATGTGATGGTTTGAATGAGAATGTCCTCCATAGGCTCCAAATATTCAGTCATTCTGTTCCCCGTTGGTGGCACTGTTTTGGGCTGTTTTAGAAGGTGTGATCTTGCTGAAGAAAGCACATAATTGGAGGCATGCTTTGACAGTTCTTAAGCCTTGCCAGATTTCTTGTCTATCTTTGCCTCCTGTGCCTGCTTGAAGATGTGATTGTTTGGATTTCTGCTCCAGTAACCTTTGCCAACGTTATGAACTCTAAACCTCTGGAACAATGAGCTAAATAAGCTCTTCCTTCTATAAGCTGCATTGGTCTTATGTCTTATCACAGCAATGAAAAGTAATTAAGAATATATGCTTGAATAAATGTGGGATATTTTGCCATGGATATATGTGAAATAGCTAATAATGATTTTCTCTCAGGTGACCAACTGGTTGACTGAGGATTGGTGTGAGATACAGGAAAGGTAGGATGCAGCACAGAGATTGAATTTTCACCATATATACTTCAAATAATAGACATGCACCATATTTTAAAACATGGTTAAAATCAATGAAACCTAATCATTTCACATTTCATTTACAGTTTTTTTTTATTTTTCTTGTAAGAATATTTCCACTTTGCCTTATGTGTATTCAAATTACAAACAGTTAACTTTCCTGAAAATTTCTTACTTTTATTTTCAAATTACTGCCACTAAATAAATCAACTAGAATGATATTGGTAGAAAGCAAATGTAAGCGGCGTGTTTCAAGTACAGAAATGTTGATCTGTTCTATTCTCAGGAGGATATGAATTTAAGGTCATTTATAACTCCTACTTTTACCTCCCACTATGGACTTTGTATATATTTACACTGATTTCACTGTTTAAATATCAATTACTAAAGTCACATTTGTTTATAATACTAGTTTTAAGAATCATATTTATAGATTGTTCATAATATGTGTTTTTAGATACATTAGCTTATGTGATCAAAATAGTGACTTTGAACTATAAAGATCATTATTGTTCAATTAGATTTAGAGATTAAACTAAATGAAGTTTACATTGTTTCATTTAGGTGGCAACCTTCTGATCCAAATCCCTGTTCACAAAATGGGTAGGAAGACAAATATGTTGTAGGCAGGAGACAAGTAAAAGATTGGAGAACTAAAGGTTTCAGCCTCTTTGACTCCACACAAAGTTAAGTAAGCTAGGATTCCTAGGTCAACCCAAGTGGCTTCTTGGTAAACAACCAGCTGAAACTTGTGTACTTTAGGACCTCTCATACATAAACACTTTAAACCCTAAACCCATGAGAAAAAAAATGAACTTGTATTTGGAGCCCAACACTTGATTGTGGGACATATGACCACAGAGATTCACTGAATTCCAATACAGTGTTTAGGCCATGGAATTGCCAGGGAGTAAGAGTCATTTTTTTATAGTAAACCAGTCACCACAGTAGTTCATCTGGATCTTGACTACCAGCCCAGAGACAAATATATCACTATGCCGTATAATTATATCATTTGCAGATTAGCTACAACGCATGCTGCCATGAATATGGTAGTTCGTTTCCTTCTTATTTTTTTTTCAATCTCTCCTGAAACTCACAGTTCCTGCTTAGGAAAGAAAGGCAAGGACTTTTGAAATCAAGCTTCCTGAACAACTCAGCAGACATTTACAATTGTATTAGGAAACATATCCTAGACCTTGAGAGCAACTGATTTGAAGTATGAGACAGTCTTTGAAATTGTGGCTAAATTTTACTGTGTGATTGAAAGAATGGGAAAAGGGATACAGTTTGATAAAATTGTTTCAGTCTATAATCCCTCCCCTGCATTTCGCTCTGTAGCTGCTGATGTTTAATTATCTTTATATGTAATTGCTCTACAGAGTATACTAAGATACTAATCTTTTTTTGTCGTTTTGAAGCAGGGTCTCCCTGTAGCCTCAGCTGTCCTAGAACTCACTATGTAGACCAGGCTGGCCTTGAGCTCACAGAGATCTGCCTGCCTCTGCCTCCAAAGTGCTGGGACTATAGGCGTGCGCCACCACGCCCCGCTAAGATACTAATCTTAATGCACTACTGAAGCTACTTGAGTTACTGCCTGCTCCTTAAAGCGAGATTTTATGTTTGGCAGTAATATTCCTGAGGAGAATGCTCAAATTAACTCTTTACAATTGCACACAATAGTTTGAATCAAGTATCACCAGATCATTCAATGTAGCTGAAAGGATTTGACAGTTCCATGAACTGACTGGGAAATAACAAGAGAAATACTTATTGGATGGAGTAAATCAGTTGACTATATTGCATACATACTATACACTACAGCTACAATTTTTTATTGTCCTCTTTGGTTATTCCTCTAGATTTCCAGAAAGACCAATTGGAACATAGTGTAAGGCAGCCATTAATTTCCAT